AATCCAGGCCAGTGAGTAAGGGGCTGTAAACAAACCACGGAACAGGTGGGATTCAAACCCCACCTGTTCCGTGGTTTGCTTTCAATCGTGTTATTATGATTGTGTGAGTCGTGAAGAGGAGAATATTGCAAATTCAAGTCAGGTTTATTCTCATGAATAGAAAAATAGTTTTAATTCAATGGATGATGACCTCATGTTAGACCTCTTACTGTAATATTTTATTTTTTTTTTATTATCACACCGGCCGATTCCCACCAAGGCAGGGTGGCCCGAAAAAGAAAAACTTTCACCATCATTCACTCCATCACTGTCTTGCCAGAAGGGTGCTTTACACTACAGTTTTTAAACTGCAACATTAACACCCCTCCTTCAGAGTGCAGGCACTGTACTTCCCATCTCCAGGACTCAAGTCCGGCCTGCCGGTTTCCCTGAATCCCTTCATAAATGTTACTTTGCTCACACTCCAACAGCACGTCAAGTATTAAAAACCATTTGTCTCCATTCACTCCTATCAAACACGCTCACGCATGCCTGCTGGAAGTCCAAGCCCCTCGCACACAAAACCTCCTTTACCCCCTCCCTCCAACCCTTCCTAGGCCGACCCCTACCCCGCCTTCCTTCCACTACAGACTGATACACTCTTGAAGTCATTCTGTTTCGCTCCATTCTCTCTACATATCCGAACCACCTCAACAACCCTTCCTCAGCCCTCTGGACAACAGTTTTGGTAATCCCGCACCTCCTCCTAACTTCCAAACTACGAATTCTCTGCATTATATTCACACCACACATTGCCCTCAGACATGACATCTCCACTGCCTCCAGCCTTCTCCTCGCTGCAACATTCATCACCCACGCTTCACACCCATATAAGAGCGTTGGTAAAACTATACTCTCATACATTCCCCTCTTTGCCTCCAAGGACAAAGTTCTTTGTCTCCACAGACTCCTAAGTGCACCACTCACTCTTTTTCCCTCATCAATTCTATGATTCACCTCATCTTTCATAGACCCATCCGCTGACACGTCCACTCCCAAATATCTGAATACATTCACCTCCTCCATACTCTCTCCCTCCAATCTGATATTCAATCTTTCATCACCTAATCTTTTTGTTATCCTCATAACCTTACTCTTTCCTGTATTCACCTTTAATTTTCTTCTTTTGCACACCCTACCAAATTCATCCACCAATCTCTGCAACTTCTCTTCAGAATCTCCCAAGAGCACAGTGTCATCAGCAAAGAGCAGCTGTGACAACTCCCACTTTGTGTGTGATTCTTTATCTTTTAACTCCACGCCTCTTGCCAAGACCCTCGCATTTACTTCTCTTACAACCCCATCTATAAATATATTAAACAACCACGGTGACATCACACATCCTTGTCTAAGGCCTACTTTTACTGGGAAAAAATTTCCTTCTTACTGTAATAATCTTACATAAATATAGCCAGATAAAAAAACTAAGAGAAAAGAGGAGGCCTCTTCCGTCCCAGATAAAAGATAAGCAACAATCTAAAAATTCTAGATAAGAGGGAAGAGGAGCCTTTGTACCTGCCAGATAAGAGACAAGAGCTGTCCTCTTAAAAGCCAGATAAGTGACAAAAGGTTTTCTTAACTGTCAGATATGAGAGATGAGCTGTCCTCTTAAGGATCAGATATGAGACCAAGAGGTGTTCCCCTAGGTGCTAAACATGTGACAAGAGGTTTGCTGTAAACTCTAAGGTAAGATAACTGAGGTGTTTTCTTAAGTGTCAGGTAAGATAACTGAGGTGTCTTAAGTTTCATGTAAGATAACTGAGGTGTCTTCTTAAGTGTCAGATATGATAACTGAGGTGTCTTAAGTGTCAAGTAAGATAACTGAGGTGTCTTCTTAAGTGTCAGGTAAGATAACTGAGATGTCTTAAGTGTCAGATAAGATAACTGAGATGTCTTAAGTGTCAGATAAGATAACTGAGATGTCTTAAGTGTCAGATAAGATAACTGAGATGTCTTAAGTGTCAGATAAGATAACTGAGATGTCTTAAGTGTCAGATAAGATAACTGAGATGTCTTAAGTGTCAGATAACTTAGGTGACACTTTTAATTATAATTAAATGCTGACATTCACTGAGGGACTCTCACTGTGCTAACAGTTACTCTGCTTCCGTTGTTCTTTGGTCTGTAACCTGGGTTCCTTGACTTGTTCCTTAGAATATAACTAATGGAGGGATCTCGATCCAAGGAGCTGGATCCACACTCCCTCTTCCTTGAAAATATAAAACTGATAGAATAATAATTTAACACACTTCTATCTCGCGGAAGAGGTAGGAAGTACAGTGCCTGCGTTCTGAAGGAAGGGTGGAGGTGGGAGGTACAGTGCCTGCGTTCTGAAGGAAGGGTGGAGGTGGGAGGTACAGTGCCTGCGTTCTGAAGGAAGGGTGGAGGTGGGAGGTACAGTGCCTGCGTTCTGAAGGAAGGATGGGGGTGGGAAGTACAGTACCTGCGTTCTCAAGGAAGGGTGGAGGTGGGAAGTACAGTACCTGCGTTCTGAAGGAAGGGTGGGGGTGGGAAGTACAGTACCTGCGTTCTGAAGGAAGGGTGGGGGTGGGAAGTACAGTGCCTGCACTCTGAAGGAAGGGTTGAGGTGGGAAGTACAGTGCCTGCGTTCTGTAGGAAGGGTTGAGGTGGGAAGTACAGTGCCTGCGTTCTGAAGGAAGGGTGGGGGTGGAAAGTACAGTGCCTGCGTTCTGAAGGAAGGGTTGAGGTGGGAAGTACAGTGCCTGCGTTCTGAAGGAAGGGTGGAGGTGGGAAGTACAGTGCCTGCGTTCTGAAGGAAGGGTTGAGGTGGGAAGTACAGTGCCTGCGTTCTGAAGGAAGGGTGGAGGTGGGAAGTACAGTGCCTGCGTTCTGAAGGAAGGGTGGGGGTGGGAAGTACAGTGCCTGCGTTCTGTAGGAAGGGTTGAGGTGGGAAGTACAGTGCCTGCGTTCTGAAGGAAGGGTGGAGGTGGGAAGTACAGTGCCTGCGTTCTGAAGGAAGGGTGGGGGTGGGAAGTACAGTGCCTGCGTTCTGTAGGAAGGGTTGAGGTGGGAAGTACAGTGCCTGCGTTCTGAAGGAAGGGTTGAGGTGGGAAGTACAGTGCCTGCGTTCTGAAGGAATGGTGGAGGTGGGAAGTACAGTGCCTGCGTTCTGAAGGAAGGGTTGAGGTGGGAAGTACAGTGCCTGCGTTCTGAAGGAAGGGTGGAGGTGGGAAGTACAGTGCCTGCGTTCTGAAGGAAGGGTTGAGGTGGGAAGTACAGTGCCTGCGTTCTGTAGGAAGGGTTGAGGTGGGAAGTACAGTGCCTGCGTTCTGAAGGAAGGGTTGAGGTGGGAAGTACAGTGCCTGCGTTCTGAAGGAATGGTGGAGGTGGGAAGTACAGTGCCTGCGTTCTGAAGGAAGGGTTGAGGTGGGAAGTACAGTGCCTGCGTTCTGAAGGAAGGGTGGAGGTGGGAAGTACAGTGCCTGCGTTCTGAAGGAAGGGTGGGGGTGGGAAGTACAGTGCCTGCGTTCTGTAGGAAGGGTTGAGGTGGGAAGTACAGTGCCTGCGTTCTGAAGGAAGGGTTGAGGTGGGAAGTACAGTGCCTGCGTTCTGAAGGAAGGGTGGAGGTGGGAAGTACAGTGCCTGCGTTCTGAAGGAAGGGTGGGAGTGAGAAGTACAGTGCCTGCGTTCTGTAGGAAGGGTTGAGGTGGGAAGTACAGTGCCTGCGTTCTGAAGGAAGGGTGGGGGTGGGAAGTACAGTGCCTGCGTTCTGAAGGAAGGGTTGAGGTGGGAAGTACAGTGCCTGCATTCTGAAGGAAGGGTTGAGGTGGGAAGTACAGTGCCTGCGTTCTGAAGGAAGGGTGGGGGTGGGAAGTACAGTGCCTGCGTTCTGTAGGAAGGGTTGAGGTGGGAAGTACAGTGCCTGCGTTCTGAAGGAAGGGTTGAGGTGGGAAGTACAGCGCCTGCGTTCTGTAGGAAGGGTTGAGGTGGGAAGTACAGCGCCTGCGTTCTGAAGGAAGGGTTGAGGTGGGAAGTACAGTGCCTGCGTTCTGAAGGAAGGGTTGAGGTGGGAAGTACAGTGCCTGCGTTCTGAAGGAAGGGTTGAGGTGGGAAGTACAGTGCCTGCGTTCTGAAGGAAGGGTTGAGGTGGGAAGTACAGTGCCTGCGTTCTGAAGGAAGAGTGGAGGTGGGAAGTACAGTGCCTGCGTTCTGAAGGAAGGGTGGGGGTGGGAAGTACAGTGCCTGCGTTCTGAAGGAAGGGTTGAGGTGGGAAGTACAGCGCCTGCGTTCTGAAGGAAGGGTTGAGGTGGGAAGTACAGTGCCTGCGTTCTGAAGGAAGGGTGGGGGTGGGAAGTACAGTGCCTGCGTTCTGTAGGAAGGGTTGAGGTGGGAAGTACAGTGCCTGCGTTCTGAAGGAAGGGTTGAGGTGGGAAGTACAGCGCCTGCGTTCTGAAGGAAGGGTTGAGGTGGGAAGTACAGTGCCTGCGTTCTGAAGGAAGGGTGGAGGTGGGAAGTACAGTGCCTGCGTTCTGAAGGAAGGGTTGAGGTGGGAAGTACAGTGCCTGCGTTCTGAAGGAAGGTTGGAGATTTGTTGCAGTTTTTTGACTGTAGTGTCATGATGCCTCTAGAAGGACAGTGTTGGAGTGATGATGAAAGTGTTTCCTCTTTGTCGGGTCACACTACCTCAGTTGGTAACGGCCGATGTATTATTAAAAAATATTTAAACATTAATCATCAGGAGATAATCTCAAATATACATTTTTTTGGACTCATTAAATATATTCATGATAAGACTCCTCTGTCATGAGGAGCTAATGTCATATACGTAAAGTTTTGTGGGATTTAATCAAGGAGTTTCTTGCTTAAAGAAACACTGCGTAAGAAAGTGAATTTATTTCGTATAAAAGCTATATACATAATATAAATAATTACATTATTTACAGTTAAAGAACAATAACAAACATAAATTCAATAACAATGACGAGAAATCTCTTGACTTAAAATTAATTTAGGCATTGTTAAATGGAAGACTCTTGATATGATTAAGACGTACCCAGTCAGATCTCTCGATCTCTCACTAACTTCCAAGTTAGTTGTTGACTTGTTTTCATGTGTTACCTTCATCATTATAAACAGACAAGGGATAAGTTATAGCCTAACATTACTGTTTCCAGACAAGAAACACTGGTAATCATAACTTCATCAGCGTGAGTATAACTTATTGTCTGTTGTTACATTAGCAATACGTACCTCATAAAAGCACTCTTCAAGAAATAAAAGTAATATAGACAATCTTCCCTTTCCTCATATCAGACTTTATTCTCTCTAATTCCTCAAGTGATTTGTGGCTTTCACAGATTTAGCCCTTTCCAGTGATTTAAAAATAATGATAATTAACATTTCGTTAGGGGGACGGGGCAATGCTCTGAAAATGATGAAGGGCTGTTGTACGTAAAAACTGTAACTACACTTCCCTTCCTCGAATCAACTTTTTACAAGGTGTCGTCCGTGACTGATGTTTGTGACGGCTACTTGATAAAGTTCTGTCGTGGACTACACCTTCCTCCTGAAAGTCTCGTTAAAAGTGTCTTTCTCACTGCCTATCAGTATAGGTCATCGTTCATCCATGCCCGGACGGATATAGGGCTTCCCTGTGAATAGTCCAGTCAATATAGGCCCTAAAATGGCTCAAAATTAAAAAATGCAACAGCATTCCTGTTTTCACAAAAATGTTTTAAACACATCAGTGAATAATATTAAAAATTGTAAATGAGTGTAAGTGTGGCAACTTGTCTCAAATCCGAGTATACCACATCAGCGTTTTTGGTTTTCTTCTTACCCACTATTTTTTTCAGTCTGGTCGCAAGTAAGAAGCAAAAAATATATGGTATATTCAATGGACAATAAAGTCTACGGGTGTAGATACCTGTCACATTCTTATATTTGTGCAAGTGATATTGGGTTGTGATACCACGTGACTTATCTTTGTCATTGGAAACGGAGTCCTTTTGAAGACACTGAAGGACCACTCTAACTTCAAGGAGAAGGTAGAAATCTTCTGTAGCAGTGAATCCACTACGGAAGAAATACATGGTGAGCAGGAACTTGTTTGCCTATTTCGTGGTCGACCCAGTGGAGATTTAAATACATTGCGCTACCAACTATTTAAAGATTTACCCAGTAAAATAAAAGACTGGTGATTGTTTTGGGAACTGTCTGCCCCCATCTGGCTCGAAATAAAATCAACATTTTTTTTATATCTTACTACTGGATACTGTTCGAATCGGGGTCAGAAGAAAAAAAAAATGTTGAAATGTTTTTTGAGTTTCAAGTACAGATTGCTTGGACTTAATTGTAACCTTAAATATTAGATTAATGTGCGAAAAGTCTTTGGTTTCATGTTGATGATAACTGTGTTAATGCAATATGAATGTGAACAAAATATGAATGCAAATACAATATGATCGTTAATAGGATGAGATCCACCTCAGGTGTAAATTGTGGGACCCATCATAGCCTCGGAGAAGTGGATAAAAAAGCTTCAAGGAAGAATATTTGGATTTCTTCCTGAAGTCATTTGAATATTCCACTTCTCCTACCACCCCATCTTTTCATTCTTTTTTACCAATAGGTATATTTTATTACATAATATGATACAAAAGATTTAAGTGATACGTTGTTGATATAAAGATGGCATATACAGTACATGAGGTGTGAGAGATACATGTCTAGTACATATTGCTATGCGTTTGTCACTGATTATAATGCAAAAATCTCAACCAGCTCCTCAGAGCAGGCATTACCCCTCTGAATAGCAGCGTTGAGTGGCTGGAACAGAAAACTAGCTGCCCTGAGATCCCTAGTAACCCTGGTGAGTCTTTTGCCTAGCTCCTTAAGGAACTTAGATGCACTCTTTCCCCATGAGCCAAGGGTCTCCAAGCCTATGGGAACAAACATATAATGATGGGCAAGTTCTCTGTATTTTCTAGACTTTTGGGACTAGCTGAAGCTGGAAGCTGCCCTTTCTTCCTCCCTGGTGTATTGGCGATAGGTATCAGCCAAAGTAGATGCACATGTGTAGTCCTACACCACCTGCTTGCCATCTGTCCAGGCTTGCATAATTGGGGTGGCTCCCTTACTACTGGGCATCCGGCTGTTGTGAAGCTCCTCTTGATAATGTTATTAACCTCCTCATGCCTTGCAATTTTTCCCTCAGATTTATGGTGCACAAGACCATGGTACCCAAATCGGTCTGCCACAAATACACCTGTGTTCTGCGAGAATAGGGGTGGCAAGACGAAGGGCAACACCAATGTAGATGGTGTGTGGGTCGAGGCATTTGCCAAGGCTGGAGTTGGGAACAGTCAACAGAAAGTCCCCTGCATGAGAAGCTCTCACTGCCTCCTGGCAGTGAGAGCTCCTCATGCAGAGGACTGAAGCATTGTTGAGGCTATATTCTCCACTGTTGGCCGTCCCAGTGCGACTGTTTGTAGTTGTTGGGAAGAGCAGGTCTGGTTTCAGAGCCCGTTAGATTATCCCAGATCATGGCTCCATCAATGAATTTGTCCTGGACTCCAATCTTGTTCCTAAGATGTTCAGGGAGAATCGCTGCTACAAGCTCTCTGGATGCAATACATGAGGACAGAAAAGCAGGTAGCGCCATCTGTAATGACTTGTGGACACCAATGCCTCCTAGTCTAACTGGAATTGTAGGTTGGTCCCACTGCTCATCTTCTAGAGTAAGGTTAAGTGCTTTCGTGAAAATCTGCCTCAGGATACTGTCATTGTCGTGCAGTATAGGGTTATCACATAAAGGTGCACATCTTAGGAAATATGTCAACCTGTGCAGACTCAAGCACTTTGTGAGAAGGTACAAGGCATCGTGGGTGTCATGATTGCTTATTCTTTGTTCCATTCTCCTCAACTCTTCCAGTTGCTTCCTGAGAATTGTATCAATGGCATTGCTTCCCAGAGGTACTCTATGCAAGACGTTATTTGTGGGGGCACTGACTGTTGCTCCTGGAAGTTTTGATCTCACTGCACCTATCACTTGTTGATTGACTGAGATGATTTCACATTTGGATGGATTCAAGATTGAGACCCATTTCCTGTCCCTGTGTCACCACCTGTGTAAGGAGCATATAGTGTGCCATCATCCAGGAACCAGATGTTAAGCTCACTGGTCAGTCTAACTGTGATTTCCCTAACCACTATACAGATGAGAAATGGTACAAGAGGGTCCCCTTGCCGGACACCCTCTGATGATGTGATTTCATCCTCTCCAAAAAGAAGCATTGATTCCTTGCTATATCCAGCTGAAACAAAAGGGAAGAGACCAGAGAAATGTTCTTGTACAGTTGCTAATACCACGTCTCTTTTCAGGAGATTAAATGCATTCTTGAAATCTAATTTTACCACTGCATCGTCCTCAGGCAGGGTGTTGATATAAGCCCTTGTTGCGTGAACCGCTGCTTCACTTCCCTGAGAGACCCAAAGCCAAGCTGGTTTGTTTAAAGCATCATGGCGGCCTCTATGCGAATACTTTGGACACCAGCTTTGGAAACGAGGCGGCGAAAAGTGCTGCCCACTGCTATTGGCCTAATTCCTCCATTCTTCTTTTTAAGGGCACAAAGTGATGCACCAAAAAAGAAAGGTTTAATTTCATCAGGAATCAAACCAGCTAAGGAATTGTTAATGAACCTTGTGATCTCTGAAAGCAGTGTCTCTGCAATCTCCCCAATAATTGGATTAACCATTTCCTTAAATGTTGTGGCCTTATTCCAGTGTAACCCCCAGCAGAGCCAGATGGGAACGACATTATTGCTTTGTAAATGTCCAAGTCTTCCACAATCAATGGTTCCACAGTGGGGACAGAGGTGTTGGAACTGTTTGTGCCCCTGGTTTTCCTGGCAGGGTGCTTTCCTCTAAGTGCTTCAGCAGTGTCAGCATACCTGAGGCAACTGTATCTTCACTGGTGATAATTCTGATTGCACCCAATGCGCCCTCTTCAATCTTCTTGCTAATCTAGACTCTGTTTTGCTGTCAGTGGAGTCAGTGGGGGTTCTGCTTCTCCTGTTTTTGTATTGATGGGGAAGGCAAATGAGGTTATCAGCTCTAGGAACGTCTCTTAAGGATTTAATGATCACTGAGGCTAGCCTCTTTCCCCTTCTTTCTGGCACAGCTAGGAAGACATTGCCAAAAAGTAGCAAGTTGTGCCATGCCTTGAAGGTTGGTGGAGCATTTAGGATAGTGGAGCCATCGTTTACATTTTTTAAGAGGTCTGTAAGCTTCCCAGCTGCGTGTGGACGGGCTGCTTTGGGAATATGTATGAGTCCTGATAGGTGTTGCTTTAATTGCTTCCATTATATTATCTGATGAGATGAGATCTATTGGAGTGGGTTCAGGTGCCTGAAGTGGCTCTGGGTCATCACTTTCCACAGGAGGACATCCTGAACCAGGGCAGCTACTGTGTTGCCGAGGAAACCATTAGAGTTGAGACAATGAAGCAGTAAACATGACCAACACTTGCCTCTCCTAGTATTGCCAGCCATGCCATTTCCATGGCTGCTCGCTTCCTCCTGATTGGCATCCATTTGGCTAGCTAGACTGTGGGAGTGGAGTAAGACATGCTGGGTGGGTATGGTACGTGGAAGGTAGTGAACTTGACCGTGGTGGCCTGGTGAGGGGAAAACTGCCTTCCTCACTAGAGGTGCTGCTGGAAGTTGGGTGGGGGAGGTGCTGGTTGTTGGGTGGGGGTAGCCTGGGGAGAGGGGTGAGGGGTGTACAATACACATGGACTTGCACACCGTATATTGTTCACACTGTCTTACAATACACACAACATTATGAATATGAATATGATGTGAATTAGAAAAAAATGTTTATGAAAATACAATATGAAAGCGAATGAGAATACAATATAAATGTAAATACAATATGAATGAGAATATATTAACAATAATAATGGTGTTTGTCACTCACCAAGCACCTGCAGGTCAGTTACCAGTTAAATCTACCGAGAATTGTCAACTTCTATCATCTATTATGATAGTTGAGAAGGTGAGTCAGGAGTCATGACTCGATCCATGCAAACACAACTAAAGAAAGTGAGCACAGAGGCATTCAATGTAAATGCACAGCAATAAGTCACTATTGCATAATTTTAGTTTTCAGTTCCTCTAGAACAAACTTACTGTATTTTCTGGCATATAAGACATATAAGACGGTGTTTTCAAGCAGTTGTAACGTTAGTAAACAACTCCTAAAGCGTAACCCAAAGCCTACCCTTGATCCTGACTTTGAGCATATAAGGCTCAGGGTGATTTTCTAAGACTTGTGGGAAAATAAGTGCATCTTTTATGCCAAAAATTATGATAATTACTTTCCATTACACAGGCACTGTATGATACTAAGGGATTAGTATCATACAGTGTCCATTGAGAGGTATAAATGCAACGTGTCATGTTAGATACAACTCATATACCTGTGACTGGTTTTTGAGGATTCTTCAACCCTTCAGACCAGCTCGAGTACAGAATATTTTGTCTGCTAGGTCAACTGGACTGTTGTTACTTGCAACTCTCAGAAACACATAGCAATCACAACCTGGCTGATCAGAGATTATTATCATTAAGACTCATCCTTACTCAGTATAGGAACTTTGACTCCAATAAAATAACATGACTGAAAATTCCCAGCGGATACAATGAGAAGATAAGAATCAGCACAGACGTGAATCCGCATACCTGTGACCAGTTCCCAGAGTTCTTCAACTCACGAGGGTATGCTTGAGACGAGGCTTAACGAATAATTACCTCGTAAACGAGGCTGTTGAACCTAACTGTCCATCTGCCCTAAACAACCATCATAACCTTGCTGATCAGGCCCTTTTACCAGGCAGTGGTCCCATTTCCTCTTGTGAACTTTATTTCGTGTATGGTCCTAATGTTGAACACACCTGTGAGGTCCCACTTCCCTGTGGCAAGCCCTAGTAGTTTCATCAAGCCAGCACACAAGATACCCAGTTAAGGAACAAGTAGAGGTGGTGACGACCCCTCGAACAATCTAAAAGTACGTATTGTCAATCCTGGATCCTCAGGCTTTGTTGGTGAGGCGTCTATATGTTGGAGACATTACTGGACCCCGTGGTGGGGTTGACACGAGCTTGACAGGGGCTTGCCTGGCACTGCAAGGAAGAAGAGGTGTGGGTGGACACTACTGAGCACAGCACAGAGGAATGAGGGTAGGTGGACTGAGCCGGGCACGGCAAGGTAGAAGAAAGGTGAGTGGGTGGTGACGGGCACATCCGGGAGGAACGAGGGTAGATGGACGGTGCCCGGCTTAGGAAGTTAGAAGAAGGGTGGGTGGACGGTGCAAGACACATTAGGGAAGATAAATGGTGGGTGGGCTGCGTCAGGTTGTACACAGGTGAGTGGGGTGGGTAGGCAGGTGAGTGGGGCGGGTAGGCAGGTGAGTGATGTTGGTAGGCTGGTGAGTGGGGTGGGTAGGCAGGCGTGCACAAGGCAGAACCAGACTCTTTCAGTTTGTGGTTCTTGACGACCAGGGACTCATCTAGTGTGAGGTCTGAGAGAGTGCGGTTCCATGACCCCCACTTGGCAGAGGAGGCAGTGGAGGTGTCGTACGTGAGTCCAGTGGCTTGCTTGCGTCTCCAGATGAGCAGTGCCACTAGCAGCAGCACCGCTAAGACACCAGCACCTACACCCAGAATCACCTCCAACTGTACAGGAGTCACTGCTTTATGAACCAGGGGCAGCGTGGGTGTAATATCGTTCTGATCAGCATGGGTGAGTGTGATGTTATGGGTGTCAAGTGTCAGCTGTGCCGAGGTAACAGCATCACCGCGAGGCCCTGTAATCAGCTCCACCTGTACGTGGTAGACAGTCTGGGGCCACAGTGTAAGGTTAACCTCAGGCAAGTCAGTGTAAAGGTGACCCTTTAGACCTCCACCTTCCACTTCCCAGGTAACCAAGTAGTCTTCACTGGGGTGCTGGGGCGCCCACCACACACGGGCGGCCACTAAGCCAGAACTTTCCAACTCCACCTCGTGAAGCAACAGCCATCTTACAGCAGCAGCTTCAACTTCAATGTTGGTTTTCACCTGGTGCTCTCCGGGAGCCTGAGAGTGGGAAGACTCAAAGTCAGACTTTATGACACTCTCAGGAAGAGTGGGCGGAGTGTATGGTGTGATAATAACTGACAGGACACCAGATTCGGCCACAGCTACGAGCTTCATATCGGCCCCACTTGATAAATCTCCTAAACCAGTGCCGAAATCTGCGGTTTGCAGTCGAAGTCCCCAGGACTTGCCAGGTGTGCGGGTGAAAAGGGCAAACACCACTTGCTCCCTGGGGGCGTCACGACCACGGGAAAGTGTCCACTGCGCGGTAGAGCCACTGAAGACTAGGGTGAGGCGGGAGTTGTGTTGACTTAGTGGCACCACAGACTTGGGGTGAGAAGAGTGAAAGGCGCATGCTGTCTCGCACCCTGGATCCTGCAACATTGAAAATTAATTATTAAACCTCAAAATTGAAAGTATTTGTGAGCATTGTATGTATATGTCGTGCCGAATAGGTAAAACCGGTCAACTGGCAAGAACTCATTTAAAATTAAGACCTTCCTAAAATTTTCTCTTATACTTTTAAAGATATAATTTTTTTCATTTATGTTTATAAAAAAATTAATAATTTTGCACCAAAAGAACCTTAGAAAACTTACCTAACCTTATTAAAACAAGTGCAATTTAATTTAGCCTAAATCAAACTAAATATATTTTAGATAAGTTTACAACAATTTAATAATCAACAAACACATTGAAATAAATTTTTCTTAATTAGGTTCAGAACGATTTTTGCAAAATTATTGCGTACACAAATTTTTACTTGCCTTATTCGGCAAGCAGAGCGTTGTTATTTAAGTCAAAATCGCAAATTTTACCTATTCAGCAAGACACACACACACACACACACACACACGCACACACGCACACACACACACACACACACACACACACACACACACACACACACTATATATATATATATATATATATATATATATATATATTATATATATATATATATATATATATATATAATATATATGTCGTGCCAAATATGTAAAACTGGTCAATTAGCAAGAACTCATTTAAAATTAAGTCCTTTCTGAAATTTTCTCTTATACGTTTAAAGATATATTTTTTTCATTAATGTTAATATAAATTTTTTTAATTTTGCTCCAGAAGAATCTTAGAAAACTTACCTAACCTTATTATAACAAGAGCAATTCATTTTAGCTTAACCCAACTAAATATATTTTAGATTTGTTTACAATAATTTAATACTAAACAAACACAGTGAAATATATTTTTTTCGTTAGGTTCAGAATGATTTTGGCGAAATTATTGCATACACAAATTTTCGCTTGTCCTATATGGCAAGATGAGCGTTGCTATTTAAGCCAAGATCGCAAGCTCTGCCTATTCGGCACGACATATATATATATATATAATATATATATATATATATATATATATATATATATATATATATATATATATATATATATATATATATATATATATATATATATATATATATATATATATATATATATATATATATATATATCCATGGGGAAGTGGAATAAGAATCTTTCCTCCGTAAGCCATGCGTGTTGTAAAAGTCAACTAAAATGCCGGGAACAATGGGCTAGTAACCCCTTTTCCTGTAAAGATTACTAAAAAGAATAAGAAGAAGAAAATTGTCAAAGTGGGAAGTCTGAATGTGCGTGGATGTTGTGCAGATGATAAGAAAGAGATGATTGTGGATGTTATGAATGAGAAGAAGCTGGATGTCCTGGCTTTAAGTGAAACAAAGCTGAAGGGGGTGGGAGAGTTTCAGTGGAGAGGAATAAATGGGATTAGGTCAGGGGTTTCAAATAGAGTTAGAGCTAAAGAAGGAGTAGCAATAATGTTGAAGGATAAGCTATGGCAGGAAAAGAGGGACTATAAATGTATTAATTCAAGGATTATGTGGAGTAAAATAAAGATTGGATGTGAAAAGTGGGTTATAATAAGCGTGTATGCACCTGGAGAAGAGAGAAGTGTAGAGAGAGAGAGATTTTGGGAAATGTTGAGTGAATGCGTGGGGAGTTTTGAATCAAGTGTGAGAGTAATGGTGGTTGGGGATTTCAATGCTAAAGTGGGTAAAAATGTTATGGAGGGAGTAGTAGGTAAATTTGGGGTGCCAGGGGTAAATGTAAATGGGGAGCCTTTAATTGAGCTATGTGTAGAAAGAAATTTGGTAATAAGTAATACATATTTTATGAAAAAGAGGATAAATAAATATACAAGGTATGATGTAGCACGTAATGAAAGTAGTTTATTAGATTATGTATTGGTGGATAAAAGGTTGATGGGTAGGCTCCAGGATGTACATGTTTATAGAGGGGCAACTGATATATCGGATCATTATTTAGTTGTAGCTACAGTTAGAGTACGAGGTAGATGGGAAAAGAGGAAGGTGGCAACAACAAGTAAGAGGGAGGTGAAAGTGTATAAACTAAGGGAGGAGGAAGTTCAGGTGAGATATAAGCGACTATTGGCAGAAAGGTGGGCTAGTGCAAAGATGAGTAGTGGGGGGGTTGAAGAGGGTTGGAATAGTTTTAGAAATGCAGTATTAGAATGTGGGGCAGAAGTTTGTGGTTATAGGAGGGTGGGGGCAGGAGGAAAGAGGAGTGATTGGTGGAATGATGAAGTAAAGGGTGTGATAAAAGAGAAAAAGGTAGCTTATGAGAGGTTTTTACAAAGCAGAAGTGTTATAAGAAGAGCAGAGTATATGGAGAGTAAAAGAAAGGTAAAGAGAGTGGTGAGAGAGTGCAAAAGGAGAGCAGATGATAGAGTGGGAGAGGCACTGTCAAGAAATTTTAATGAAAATAAGAAAAAAATTTGGAGTGAGTTAAACAAGTTAAGAAAGCCTAGGGAAAATATGGATTTGTCAGTTAAAAACAGAGTAGGGGAGTTAGTAGATGGGGAGATGGAGGTATTGGGTAGATGGCGAGAATATTTTGAGGAACTTTTAAATGTTAAGGAAGAAACAGAGGCAGTAATTTCATGCACTGGTCAGGGAGGTATACCATCTTTTAGGAGTGAAGAAGAGCAGAATGTAAGTGTGGGGGAGGTACGTGAGGCATTACGTAAAATGAAAGGGGGTAAAGCAGCTGGAACTGATGGGATCATGACAGAAATGTTAAAAGCAGGGGGGGATATAGTGTTGGAGTGGTTGGTACTTTTGTTTAATAAATGTATGAAAGAGGGGAAGGTACCTAGGGATTGGCGGAGAGCATGTATAGTCCCTTTATATAAAGGGAAAGGGGACAAAAGAGACTGTAAAAATTATAGAGGAATAAGCTTACTGAGTATACCAGGAAAAGTGTACGGTAGGGTTATAATTGAAAGAATTAGAGGTAAGACAGAATGTAGGATTGCGGATGAGCAAGGAGGTTTCAGAGTGGGTAGGGGATGTGTAGATCAGGTGTTTACATTGAAGCATATATGTGAACAGTATTTAGATAAAGATAGGGAAGTTTTTATTGCATTTATGGATTTAGAAAAGGCATATCATAGAGTGGATAGAGGAGCAATGTGGCAGATGTTGCAAGTATATGGAATAGGTGGTAAGTTATTAAATGCTGTAAAGAGTTTTTATGAGGATAGTGAGGCTCAGGTTAGGGTGTGTAGAAGAGAGGGAGACTACTTCCCGGTAAAAGTAGGTCTTAGACAGGGATGTGTAATGTCACCATGGTTGTTTAATATATTTATAGATGGGGTTGTAAAGGAAGTAAATGCTAGGGTGTTTGGGAGAGGGGTGGGATTAAATTATGGGGAATCAAATTCAAAATGGGAATTGACACAGTTACTTTTTGCTGATGATGCTGTGCTTATGGGAGATTCTAAAGAAAAATTGCAAAGGTTAGTGGATGAGTTTGGGAATGTGTGTAAAGGTAGAAAGTTGAAAGTGAACATAGAAAAGAGTAAGGTGATGAGGGTGTCAAATGATGTAGATAAAGAAAAATTGGATATCAAATTGGGGAGGAGGAGTATGGAAGAAGTGAATGTTTTCAGATACTTGGGAGTTGATGTGTCGGCGGATGGATTTATGAAGGATGAGGTTAATCATAGAATTGATGAGGGAAAAAAGACGAGTGGTGCGTTGAGGTATATGTGGAGTCAAAAAACGTTATCTATGGAGGCAAAGAAGGGAATGTATGAAAGTATAGTAGTACCAACACTCTTATATGGGTGTGAAGCTTGGGTGGTAAATGCAGCAGCGAGGAGACGGTTGGAGGCAGTGGAGATGTCCTGTTTAAGGGCAATGTGTGGTGTAAATATTATGCAGAAAATTCGGAGTGTGGAAATTAGGAGAAGGTGTGGAGTTAATAAAAGTATTAGTCAGAGGGCAGAAGAGGGGTTGTTGAGGTAGTTTGGTCATTTAGAGAGAATGGATCAAAGTAGAATGACATGGAAAGCATATAAATCTATAGGGGAAGGAAGGCGGGGTAGGGGTCGTCCTCGAAAGGGTTGGAGAGAGGGGGTAAAGGAGGTTTTGTGGGCAAGGGGCTTGGACTTCCAGCAAGCGTGCGTGAGCGTGTTAGATAGGAGTGAATGGAGACGAATGGTACTTGGGACCTGACGATCTGTTGGAGTGTGAGCAGGGTAATATTTAGTGAAGGGATTCAGGGAAACCGGTTATTTTCATATAGTCGGACTTGAGTCCTGGAAATGGGAAGTACAATGCCTGCACTTTAAAGGAGGGGTTTGGGATATTGGCAGTTTGGAGGGATATGTTGTGTATCTTTATATGTGTATGCTTCTAGACTGTTGTGTTCTGAGCACCTCTGCAAAAACAGTGATAATGTGCGAGTGTGGTGAAAGTGTTGAATGATGATGAAAGTATTTTCTTTTTGGGGATTTTCTTTCTTTTTTGGGTCACCCTGCCTCGGTGGGAGACGGCCGACTTGTTGAAATATATATATATATATATATATATATATATATATATATATATATATATATATATATATATATATATATAGTCGTGCCGATTAAGCATTGTTAAGAATGGTCATTGTGTTCTTTAGTATTGCTCAGAGTCTTCCTAGTTTTCTCGGTATTGCCAACTCGCCCTAGTCTTCTTTGTTATTGCTAAGACTCATCATAGTGTTCTTAGTATTCTTGCTCATTTCATTACATCTCCCGCTTCTTGAAGCCTGGCTGGTGTGGGTATTATTGGTCTCTTCACTAAGGGCGATTCTTTAAATACAGTGGAACCCTGGATTTCGTCCGGTGCAGGTATCGTACAATTCAGATTTTGACCACTTTTTTGGGTGAAAATTTACCTCGGTTTTGGCACCTCTGCTCGGAAATCTCGGAAATCGTCCATACCAGAAGCGTGCGTCTGAGCCGCTGATTCGTTCAGGATACTAATACGTCATAATAATCACTCTTGGGCACATTAAATGTCTTATTTTAGGTTAATATAGACATTTTCATTAATCCATCTATGATATTTCTTCAAAATTATATAAGAAACACGTTACATAGCATATAAACATGCAATGTTTATATGCTATGGAGGTGTGCTAGCCAGGCAGAGGGAAAACATTACGTTTTCTCTGGTCCAGCATCAGAGAAATTGTGTATGAATCTGTGTTGGCCCAGTCACCACCCATAATTCAAAACGCTCTTGTTTACAATTCTTGGCGTGAATTATTAATTACTTCTCTCTTTGTTTATGATGGCAGCTAAAGGTAGTTGTTAGAAACAATTAAACTCAGTGAACATGGTATGTCGATGGTAATAATATGGCTCTGGGCCGCATTAAATATCGTGCAGCTAGGATGTGGAAGAATTGGTTCATTGAATCTCAAGCTGGTCCTCGTGCCAGTAAAAGACAATGAATGGAAGTAACCCTGGATAGGGCTTTGATACCTGAAGTCCTTATGGAAGGCGGATTCCCCTTCCAAACAATAACCTCTCCTCTCTCTCCCATCCTTGCCGTCTTCTATACGCCAATAAGTTTCTTCAGTAAAGGTAAAAGTGATTCAAATGTTCATTTATCCATTAAAATTAGTCATTTATATTTATTTCTCATTCTTTTCTGTACATAAAACTATAGCTATTCTCTATAACATGTATTTTTTGTTAATATTTTTGGGTGTCTGGAACGGATTAATTTGATTTTTCGGTTTTCGTACATTTCGGATTTCGACCGACCTTCTGGAATGGATTAAGGATGAAAACTGGGGTTCCACTGAAATTTGGTTGAAGTGCTTTCGATTCTCTTGTGAATACAAATTTATAGATCAATATAACCTAACCATACCTAACCTAAATTTATATAAAATCAGTTGAGAATCATTAAGAAAATAACTTTGGCAATGTCGCTAGAAAATTAACCAAGCACAATTAGGCATGGATATTTACTCACACATATATGTGGTTGACGGCAGGTGATACTCCAGATGGGAAAGTTCGCAGCCAGCAGCTCACACCTTCCCCAGCACTGTCAACAAGAAAGTACCATTAAATTATTTCTAAGCCTACTGTGGCGTGTCAACTGAAGGAAGATACAGACACATAAAGTATACCTGGAGTATACCTGGATAGGGTTCTGGGGGTCAACGACCCCGCAGCCTGGTCTGAGACCAGGCCTCAACACAAGCCACAACACAAGTCACACCCAACACAAACAATCGTGGATGCAACACTTCATAACTAAACCACAATACTGTGGCGGGAACAATTCAAAAGTAACTCACAGTACCATAGATGGAAAAAAATCGGAAGTAACCCACAATACCGTGGCTGGAAGAATTCAAAGGTACCCTACAATACCGTGGCTGGAACAATTCAAACGTAAACATCCAGGCATGAAAATTTCCCATCTCATATTATAAAAATCTTAGAGAGCTCTCCTGAAATTGATTAATTTTATGAGCCAAAATAGTGATGAGAGTGATTGCCTCTTCACCGAGTATGAATTAAATAATGTATTAACTTACGGTCGATCAACTGCTCCTGGAGAGGATGGTATAACTTGTGATATCCTCAAAACTTTAAGGCAGGTCCCTGATAACCCTTTGTTAGCGCAGAATAATCTCAATTACATCGAGAGAGTTCTTCCTACTTCCTGGGTGCATAGTCTCATTGTGCCTATCCATAATCCGCAACAGCGTGACACATTTAAACCACTCTCCATAACTAGCTGTCTTTGTAAAACTTTTGAAACAATGATACTTAACAGACTATACTACGGAATCAGACACTAACTTTCCCCTCATTTCTATGGGTTCGTGAAAGGAAAAAGTGTGCAGAATTGTATTCCCACCTTTCTCACTGCACACACCTCTACTAGTTTTACCACATTTCTTGATCTAAAATCTGCATATGATATCACAAAAAGAACCGTTATGTTACATGAACTAGCCAAAATGAATATTGATGGTAGCCTACTCACTTGGGAAAGAGGATACCTGTCAAATAGAGAATCCTCTGTCCTTTACCAAGGCTTTAGAAGTGAGTCTAAAGAAATGTCCCTAAATACTGTACCTGCCTCACTCAAATACATAACGATAAGTTATTCTGATGACAGTTTGATCAATACAACAGGGCATGAGAAGATGAATACCATTCTTAACGAAATTCAAGCAGTTTGTAATAGATTAGGCCTTATCATATCTTCTTATAAAACAAAGATACTGACAGGCAAACGACATCCCTCACCCACCTGTTTCCAGCGTGAAACCATTAGCTACCTTAAATCTTACAGATATCTTGGTGTAGATATACCCTTCAATAAATGCACCACAGCACAACTAAATAAGAAATGCAAAGACATTCTAAATGTTCTCGAAGCTGTTGCTTGCTGCAACTATGGTGCTAATGTGAGAATCGTGGAATGTTGTACATAGGCTATGTTAGGTACATAATTGATTATGCCTCTCCACTGTTGATATTAGCCAGTATGATCCTGCAAACTATAATCATACATCCAACGGATTTTTTAGTATCAGGAAGCTGAACAAAATAGAAAGAAATATTAAGTATCACCACATAGGAGCCATGATGGACTGGAGTCAAAGCCAGAGGCAGGACCATCAGAGTCACTGGTGCTAAGTCCAACCAACAAGCCCCCAGCACAGCAACTAGCAATATATATGTATGGTATAGAATTCCGACGACAAGATGAAGAATTAGACGCATGTGCAACACCTGGGTATTTTTTATTGCAGACGTTTCGCTATTCAGTGGCTTTATCAATGCAAATTCAAGGACATTATTGGTATTGATAAAGCTACTGGTTGGTAAAACGTCTACAATAAAGATATCTAGATGTTGTACGTATGTCTGATTCTTCAGTCAAAGTTCTGAAAGTCAGTATTGAAAACCAGAACCAAGTTGTTGGGCTTTTGAATAAACGACCAGATACAACCTCCTAGTAGCTCAAGGATCAGCTATTGAAGAGCCAGAATTGTCTTGATTACCTATCAAGTCCATCCCCAAATATCCAGCTGCTTGGAGACTTCAATTTGAGACATCATAAAAGGAAGAATGTAGCAAAGAACTGCAATTACAGAGAGAGCCCCGGGAACTAGCTTGGAGGAACAGTCCAACACAATAAGAATTACTAAACCTCTGCAGTAAATTCGCCTTAAGGCAGCAGATTGTTGAACTGACCGAACTGGGAAACGCCCTGCATAATAATTTACATAATAATTTACATTGGGAAAATCCTAGAGGGCTTTGTCCTAACCTTAACATCAAAATCACTTCTTTTGACAGCAAGAGACTTGGCAGACGTTGCAAAATACCTCCTCTAAAAAGCAGGGGCGAGACTAGTACACTAAGAGAGAACTCGATGAGTGTTAGAGGTCCCCGACTCTTCAACAACTTCTCTCCGTACATAATGAGAATTAGTAACAAACTTCTGGCTGTCTTCAAGAGGGAACTGGACAAGTTTCTCAAATCAGTGCCTGACCAGCCAGGCTATGGTTCGTACACTGAACTGCGTGCGGCAATCAGTAGCAGATATCCTTAACGAACAATGAGGACCTAGTCCGGGCAACAGCGATGTCGAAGACTGCAACCACAGTTGCTTGGGACAGAGAAAGACGATCGATCATGAAGGCTATTTTAAAAGGTTCGGCTTCAGCAAAAACAACAGCAAATAAGACCAAATGAATCGCAAACTTAGCAAAATACTCTGAGATGATGACATGACCGCCCAAGCTCTAAACCAGTTCCTCAGGAGGACGAGCTCTTTGGATCTGCATGTATACACCAGACACATAACTATGACACAGGAGAAGATATGTAAACGAGAGAGAGAGAGAGAGAGAGAGAAGAGAGAGAGAGAGAGAGAACGGGAGGGACAACAGATGCCCCGTGTCCCGTGGTCTGGTGGCAAAAGCTCTCGCTTCACACTGTGAGGGGTCCGGGTTCGATTTCCGGAGAAGGGGTAGAAACATTGGGTGTGTTTCCTTACAGCGGTTGTCTATGTTCACCCATCAGTAAAATAGGTTCCTGGGTGTTAGTAGACTGGTGTCGGTCGCATCCTGGGACAAAACTGACCTAATTTGCCCGAAATGCTCTGTATAACAAGGTGCTTTCTACATACTAATATGTCACTGATATCAGCTAGGACTGTATACCTTGTATATGCACTTGTAGTAAATAAAGACATTATTATTATTATTATTATTATTATTATTATTATTATTATTATTATTATTATTATTATTAATATAATAATAGATCTCATTGAAGGCAGCAGCCTCTCTGAAGCACAACGGAAAGTTCTAGTTAGAGAAATATAGAAAATCGAGCACAAAATGACAGCATCATATAACGTCCATGAGAGACAGAGGAAGCAAAGAGACGTAACTGAAATTAGAAGAAATCCCAAATAATACTTCCTTAATGCGAAACCCAGAGCAATAACCACATCTAGCGTAAAACCTTCACTTCAAGGAGATGGAACTTACACTGGCGACAGTAATGAAATGAACGGAATATATAAGTCACAGATTGATTCTGTTTTTAGCGAACCTCTCATCAGTCTAACGAACGAAAACCCTAACGAGATTTTTCTTTATGAGGCTTAAAACACTGCCATCATCAACACAATTTTTGTTATAGCCTTTACCCACCACTTGAATCTGAAGAAACCATCGACAGCCAGCATGTCCAGGCCCAGACTCGTGGAATTATATTTTCTATATTTTCATTAAAGAATATAAGAAGCTACTATCTCGAACCTTTAGTATTTTATGGAGAAGAAAACTGGACACAGGTGTTATCCTAAAGTCACTGAAAACCATTTCACCTTGGATGCAGTATGGCAATTTCGAAACTAAGACCAATAATCCTAATTTCACGCATAATCGGAATCTTTGAACAGGTCCTAAGGAAACCATACCCCGGCCGGGATTGAACCCGCGGTCATAGAGTCTCAAAACTCAAGCCCGTCGCGTTAGGGCTGGAGTTCTGAGACTCTATGACCGCGGGTTCAATCCCGGCCGGGGTATGGTTTGTTTGCAATCGTGTCATTACGATTTCGTAAGTCAGGTCCTAAGGAGCAAGATTTTCAGTCACATAGAATCGTAACAGTTGCACAATCCAGTGCAGGTAACTTCTGACTCTTACAGCTGCTAAATCATTACGATACGGTCTTGGATACTCATGAAAACAACTTAAATGGCGACATAGTGCACAATGATTTTGTAAAAGCGTCCTTGAAGTGTAATTAATGTAATCACGCACAAAGTGCGCGCAAAAGGAGAATAACTAAAAAAAGTGGGCAATTGGATATTTAATTTCTTGACAGTTTGAACATAGTAGTAGTGGTAAATAGAGTGAAGTCAAAGGCTGTCACAGTGAAAAGCTCTGTTCCTCACGGCATAATACTTGCTCCACTTCTGCTTCTCATTCTGATTTCCAACAATGACAAAGATATAAACCTTAGCAGTGCAACATCCATTACTGATGACACAGAATCTCTGTGAGAGTATTATCATCGAAGACACAAGTCTTCAGGACGATATAAATCAAGTCTTCCAGTGGGCCTTAGACAACAAAATATATGTTAAACGAGGACATTATTCAGTTGCTCCACTATAGAAGAATGAAAAAAATAAAGACTGTGATGGAGTACAGAACAAACTCATCCATTCATCAGAATGAAAGTTTCAAGTGTAAGAATTGTGAGTAATGATGTCAGAAGATTTAACCAATAAGTTGAAGAATGAGACACTTGTGCAACATTTGGCAGACATCCAGATGATGTTCAAACCCAATGCAGAGTATGTGGCCAGCCCTCTGGTTACTATCTTAGCCACTATGTGCTTAATTGTTCACTTACTGAGGAATATGTGGCCAGCCCTCTGGTTACTATCTTAGCCACTATGTGCTTAATTGTTCACTTACTGAGGAATATGTGGCCAGCCCTCTGGTTACTATCTTAGCCACTATGTGCTTAATTGTTCACTTACTGAGGAATATGTG